TGTCATTTATCTATGAAGTTTCTTTCCCTTCTAGAGATAAAGAAGAGAAAATCTATCACTCTTTTTAGAAGAAGAAAATCACACATTTTTGTTTATAAAAGGCCTATTTTTATCATTACTTTCAAAAGAATAACCTACTTCGATTAAAATGTGAATTTTAAGTTAAAGAAGTTCTTCGAAGTTCGCCAAAGAAATAACTAAAGTAATAACTAATAAATAACTAACTAGAATAAATAACTAAAGTTTAAACCCGACGCAGCAAATTAATTTTAAATTACATATCATCATACTTCTCTGAAAAGAGTAGTCTAGACTTAATGCTTAAAAACGTACAAATGCTTAAAAACGTATTAAACTTTTTAAAATATTGTCTATTTTACGAAATTTTCTTTTTCAGATAAAAGTATTTTTAAAATCGATTAATAATCCCAATTTTTGCATGTTTTTATAAGTCTGAAAAATTTACATTGAAACAACTCTCCAAATTATAAAAAAAATCAAACGTGAAACAAACGCTTTTTATTTTCACAAAACTATGCGGTGATTCCCTGGAGGAGGGTCAATTAGAAATTATTCAATTTTTTTATTAGTATTACGAAAATTACTTATTCACATTTAGTATTAAGATATTTTACTTATAGATACATAATTACATATTCTTTGTTCACAAATATATTAATTAGTTTCATGCATCACGTAATGGACAAAACCTTGAAACTACCTTGTAACTTTTTCTTTGATATATGTAGTTTGCGACCATAATTAGCAAATTGGAAGCCTAGTTAAATATTGATAAACCTTAACTCAACAATCATGAATGTCATAACGATAGTGAAAAATAGCATATTGTTTACTCAAGCAGCGTTTCTTAAGACGAAAAGTTCTTTGAAGAGCAATTTAAGTTTACTCTATTAAAATCCCATGCAAATTCAAACATATAGAGCGTTCTGCAAAGCTATTTGTTAAGGGAAATTGAAATTTTATTTTATAACCGTCGTTGAACAGCCGACCCAATTTTGGGTTTACGACTACCAATGTACAACCCAATCCAGAACACAAGGGAACTCCTGGATCAAGTATTGGGAGAAATATATATATATATATATANGAAACAAATAAAATATTAAGGCATTTTATCTTAACAAACAATTGTATTTGAGGTTTTATATATAGTATTAAGTAAAATTATATATATATATATATATAGTATTAAGTAAAATTATATATATATATATATACACACGAAAGTACATTCATAGTATAATAGTATGTAAGTATATACGAGCATTCTACGTGCACGTAAGAACTTTTTTATTCATAAGATATATGTAAATATCTACGCATAAAAAAATTCATGTACGTACGTGTACATATGTGAATTCATGTATATATATGGTTTGTATATATATGGTTTGTACGTGTATTGTAGTATGTTCATATGTATGTACAAAACGTTTGTATCATCTTGCATTATACGTCGGCATATACAATGTAGGCATGTATAAATGTGTGCATATACAAGAAATATATGTATTTACTACAATGTATGCACATACATTATGTGTATATAAGTCAAATTCTTTAACCATCAAGACTATGTCTTTTCATGGACTGAGATGCAAAACATCGTTTGCTTAAGTATGTCTTATATAAGGAATTTAACCATAAAACCAAGGCAAGTAGGAATATTTATTTTTATGTTATTTTAACTTACACCAGCGTAACATTATTGTTTTATATAAGTTCTTACAGTTAGTTGTGCTAAAAATTGTTTATAACAGTTTCGTTATTTAAGTTCATTTTAAAATTTTGTTCCAATATCTATAAAACTCAATTTCTTATCCTTTTTGAAAGCAAACAATAAGCTTATTTTAAATTCCTAAATATAATTTTACTTAAAAAATTAAACGCTTTTTTGTCATGTAAACATTTTTCTGAACTAAGTTATATAAAATTATGTTATATAAAAATAATCAAACATTTTATAAAAATACTTGGAAAGGATTTTTTATTGAAATATTTGTAAAATTATATAAAACAATTAAAACTTACACTTCATTTTAAATATCATTTGATTTAGTCATTTAAATTGCTTGAGTTGTTATTCACGGTCGTTATAATTAAGGTTTTGAAATTTCGATAACTTACATAAATTGTATACCCCATTGCCATCTCTGTGTTGTTTTTCACACACGTTATCGGCTCCTTCTGTTTCAAACTTCTCAAATTATGTCGCCTGGAAGTGACAAAGGATTTCCGAAATTTTAATTCTTGATTCTGTCATTCATCTTTAGAAAACTTTAAATAGCCTGGTGGCGATAAAGTTTCATCATTAAAAATTTTGTATAACTTTTTCTATATTTTTAAAGTAACAGCAAAAAAGACAAAAGATTTTTTTTTTTATAAAATTGCCTATACTTGCATAAATTTTTATAATTATTCCATTCGTATTTTATTGCTTGTCTCTCAAACAACTGAAAGCTTTAAAATTTATTTTAAAATATGAGTAATCTAAACATTTCTAAAGTGAAAAAATAACGCTCAAAGCAATTTCTTGAGAAATTAGAAGGAAAAAAAATGCGAAAAACTGAAATTGTCTCTTCCACCATTATAGGGTAGTGTACATAATACCTAGGCAAACTATAGATTAACAAATGCTATTTAAGCAGAGTATGAAAACAATTCTATTGATGCTATTATATAAATGATAACTGTATTCCTCAAACATACAAAGATTATTCTGAATACAGTTAAAAAAATAATTCAAAATACATAAAGAAAAGTGAAAGTTGCACAAAACAAAATTTATAATCTTCATATAAAGAAAAAGAAATTAAATTAGCCTTTTTATAATAAAATAGTAGGCTTAACTGACATTTTAAATTACACTGCATTACATTCGGAACGAACCTGAGACGTATTTCTTAATTGTCGGTTTCTTTAGCGCAGTATAGCCATTTTTGGCTCTGGTGCCCATAAACTCCATCCAACCAATCATCTGGAATTCTATTGAATGCCTAGGAAATATGTGAAATATGAATAAATTTACACAGCGATGTCTAGTTTTTACGCATTTGATAGAATGGTGGATTTCAAACTTTGCCAGTAATATGTAGACATACTACATGAAATGTCTAAAAAAAAATATTTTATTATCTTATCCTCGAACTTAACTATTTTTGTTTTTAAATTATTAAAAACTTTTTTTTAGATTTTTCAAAGGGCTTTAAGAGATAATGATAACTGTAAAAATAAGTTTAAACTTAACCCGCCGATGTATCATTACTTTCTATCAACCTTTCAGGTTCAAAACTAGTTGCTAAAAAACAATTATTTCACAGATTCATTTGCATTAACAGTGTTCAAATCTGAGTAATATTTGATTACATCTGTTTCAGTAAGAAGAAGGATTTAACTACCTTCTACAGGAGCACATATCACAAAACACAAATTTTGGATAGAAATTCGAAAAAGAAAATGTCAAACTGAAATTGTTTCTTCCATAATTGTAGTGTATATAATGCCTAGGCAATCTATAGAATGACAAATGTTATATATGGCAAAGTATGTAAAATAATATTCCTGTTGAGTCTATTATATAAATGACAAATGTATTCCTCAAAAATACAAATATTCTGAAAACATTCTAAATGCCGTTAAAAAATAAAATTTAAAGTAATTAAAGAAAAGTGAAAGTGCACGAAACAAAATTTATGATTTTCATGATGAAAAATAATAAAATAATAATAAATTAAAATAAAAGAATAATAATTTAAAATTAATCTTGTTATAAAATAGTAGACTTAACTTACATTTTAAATTACACTTCATTAAAATGTTTTACTATCTTATTGTGGAATCTAGTTTTTTTTAATATTTACAACATTTTTTCGACTTTTAAAGAAGCTTTAAGAGAGTTTGTTAATTGTAAAAAATAAGTTTAAATTTTACCAGAATTTGCCAGTGTATTATTCAATTGATGCTTCCAATCAATATTTTAGGATCAAAACTAGTTGCTGAAATAACTAGTTTCTAAAAAAAAATTCGTTCACGGATTATTTTGCATTAATAGAGCTCAAATGTAAGTAATATTTAATTACATCTGTTTCAATAGGAAGAAAGATTTAACTAACTTCTCTCAGAGCACCTAACACAGAACACAAATTTTGTTACTACCTTGTTAATTTTTCAAATTAACATTTTTTTCAAATACGCTTATTGAATTAGATAAATTTAAAAAAAATTATTTCAATTTAATTATTTTGCATAAGATAATTTAAAATAAAAAGATAAAGCAAGTTTACATAAAACGACTGCTTGAAATTTAGATATTTCAAACGGAAGCTTGCAATTTCGTCAGGTAAATGATTTTCTTTTATTATTGCATACTTAACTCTAAAATAAACAAGATTATCATAAAAAACTATATTGTTTTGGTTAGAAATCATAGCATTTTTTGTAACTTTTATTTGCTTTCACAATTAATTTCATGAAAAAACATTTTTAATATGAATAATTGAAATCATATGTGTTAGTTCACCCAAATTAGTGGAAACAAATAAAATATTAAGGCATTTTATCTTAACAAACAATTGTATTTGAGGTTTGAAAATTCTTGTATTCGGCGAATCGATGGAACGAAGCACAAAAACAAGTTTTTTGAAAAACTGGGTGAAGTTTGGGGATTTCGTAGATGCATGATCAGTCAAAAGTTGTAAAGTCAGGAATTCGTTGCATGATCAGTCAAAAGTTGTAATAATACTTTCCCTGCATATCCCGGACCATTCTTTTCTAATCGTTCGCATCGTTAAAACTCGTAGGTAGTAGCATGCATATTAAGTGCCAACTATTTCTGAAGAAAATATGTTCAGTCATAACATAAAATTACTTACTTTTGCAATTGAAAACTGTTAATTGAGAATTTTAAGAACTAATATAGTTGCTAAAAAATAAAATTTTATCTTTATCGATTTACCATTTTTCAATGTTTAAAAAATCATTATAATATAGTAGATGGCAGACTCATTGGCTAAAGATGCTTCTTTGGAACCTTTACAGCCAGATATGCCTTTCACTTTCAATAAGGTCTTTGCAGAATGCAAAAAAATGTTTATGGACCTCAGGAGGATTCCTCCTCCACGTAGTTGGTATTTCAGAAAACGTCCTGGAGGTGCCTTGCTTTTTGAGGACCTAGAAACCAATAGACTTTGTGTCTCTCGCTTGTTCAGGGGCGAAAGACTTTTCGACTTGGCACTTGTAGGATTGCTCAGGCTTCGCCCGAGCATATTCTAAACTGTATTGATTTTAAGATCCACGAGGGTTTTTCAAAACCTCATCTGTTTTTGAACTTATGGTTTTAGTCTAACTGGGATGGACCTCTTGGGGATCAGAAACAACAACATTATAATGTAAAGATAACTGAAAAGACAACCTCTATGGGTCTGATCGGGGGTAATCAAATCCCTGTAACTTAAGAGTAGAGAGCAGGAGTGGTAATTACCAGGACGGCCGGGTCTCTACTTTAACAAAGCCACACTTACTTACACATTCCTTTAACTCACCCCCCTGTTGCAAGTACTCCCAAACTGTAAATATTCATTAGTGTTTATTTTTCCATTGTACTTCAATTTTGCCTTTTTTCATGTACTTTTTATTACTTGTAATTTTATTATTACCTAATAATAGCAAAATGCCATTTATTTTCTCTCACGAACTCCATTTTGCTCCCCAAACTTTATTTTTTTCATGTATGTATCTTAGTCTAATTTCAGGATGAATGGGAAAAATGGCCGTAAGGCCTCAGACTCCCAGTTCCACTACAACGATCGAATGGAACTGAAAGGATTCCTGTTTTTAAGTTTTAGAATGTGTATACGATACCTCAGGATCGATTCCGTGTTATCGGAGTCCATTAGGTGTTAAAAAATGAACTTCAAATTTAGTCAAACGGTATTCTTATTTTGCTCAAATTTATCTAAATATATTGAATGAATTTAAATAACAAATAAAAACAAATGACGAAACTCTGGGACTGGACAAGTTTTAAACAATTTGTAATATTTTTTTTCAACTATAGAAGGTATGCTAAAACTCTAGCTTTGACAATATTTACTATAAAATTTTGAGTTATAAAGACTTCAAAATTAAATTTTGGATTGAATCGATTGAAAACGTAAAAAAAGATGGCAGGGACTTAATTGGCAAACATAAATGCACCAAAGATTTGTACAAACGAACGAAATGAATGGGAGAGCGAAACGAAATGAATGGGAGAGCTGAAGAGGACTGGCTCAGGACAATGGTGCCTGAAAAAAGAGATTAGAGGCCTTATGTGCCAGACGTCGCGAAGGGGATAAGTAGATATGTCTGAACTGAAGCTCAAGCTTTATTTAATATAGCATAATTTTTGGTACTTAAATGATTATTATCATATTTTTTCGTTTATTGTGTTTAAAAGCTGGAAAAGTTGGCTCATCTTCACTGGTATTTTTCTTGATAATTGATATTTTTAAAGTGTCGACACGATCCGGCACGAAAATTATAACTGTATTTTTTTTTTCAGAAGTAAATGGAGGATCCGGATCAGGCTTGGTTGAGACAAGAAAGGAGATGGAAGGTAACAATACAAACTTTAGCATTTGATCAATTTTTTAATATTTTTTAAATAGTACTTTTGTAGAAGATTTTATTGGTGATTGTACAAAAACTGATTTAGATTTCGAGTCATTAATACTTTGAAATCGAGATAATTGTCAAGTCTATAATTTGTTTTAGAAGTAAACGGATTTACATACTTGGTAGAGATAGGAAAGGAGATGGAAGGTAACAAAACAAGCTTTAGCTTTTGATCAATATCTTAATATATTCCAAAAAATACTTTTGATAGAAGATATTATAGGTGATTGCACAGAAACGGATTTAGATTTCGAGTCATCAATACTTTAAAATCGAGATAATTCTCAAGTCTATTATTTGTTTATATCATTTGTATTGTTGTGGTTAAAGTTTATTACACATGAGATGAACTAGACTCAAGTTTCAATAATTGAAAAAAGTACCTTTCTATGAATCATTCGTAATAATGGATTATTCACAAAAAAAAAGCGTAAAAATATAGCAGCTAATAAAATTAATGTGTAAATCAAGAAGATTTTATTAAAACGTCTGTGAATATTTTTTTATAAAAGATGTTGAATCACTTTTAAAGCCCAAAGATTGCTTGGAGTATAGCATTCTTTGATTGATATATCAAAGACGCCATCTTGTATGGTCTTTGCAAAAGAATTTACTAAGTGGAAAAATTATAATATTTAAAGTAATCAAAACCGTTTTCAAAAATTGAACTACTGTGCTAATGCTAAAAAGAGTAATTGCCTCATATACAACTGTGATAAAAATTTATAATTCATAATTTAACTATTAATTGTTATTGTATAAGAGGTAAGAGGTTATTGTTCAACTTTTTCAAACAGCGGCCCGCCAGGTGATTAGTGAGCGGAATTCTGACCCGTGGGCTCTTTGCAGTTGGACAGCCCTGCTGTAGCTCAAGACAACGCATGATATTTAAAATTTACTGCAAAAGTTACCTTCTCTTGTACTTTAAAATTGCTAGCCTTGGATATTTTATTTTTCCAGAAAGAAATATTTAAATGATTTTCTTAACTCTTTTTGTGGTTTTTCGTTAATAGCTTATTTAACCTAAGCTTATAAGCTAAGTTACTAGCTTATTTAACCTAACAACTATCCGATCGGTCAATTTCCTTACCGGACTGAAAGTGTTATGGACGGTCGTGATTCGATTATGATCTGGAAGGGTTAAAAATGAAAGGTGAAGTAGCTAAAATATTAAATTTGAACAATTAAGTCGTAGAAATTTCACATTTCTGTAAGGTTAATCATCTTTTTACCTTCATTTTTTTTCTTTACATTTTTGAGGGGAAAAACATAAATGAAATTTTTGAATTACTGTTTATCTTTTACTTAGTAACAGAGAATTAAATGTGATTTTTTTTCAAATAGATTTTGCAGAGATTCTGAGCTGTAAAATTTGTTTAGCAATCCAGAGTCATTATTTTAATATTTTCCGTATGAAATTAACACTGCTTAGGTTTTTAAGTTAACACGATTTTGTATTGACACCCTAAGAGTTAACGTCAAAATATTTTCTGAAAATAATTGTTTACATCAAGGATTTTATTTTTGCAGGCATGGAGGAAGTTTTTGCTGGATAAGCATTTGACCAAGTTTCAAGAAAATAACAGGATTAAATCAAGAAACAAACATTGTGTTTACGATATAAAATAAATGATTTTTATCTATTTAATAAAGAATTTTTATCTAGCTTTGATAATATTTTCTATAAAGTTTTCAACTAAACCAACTCGAAGGCTAAAATTATTTTATTATGAAAATGATTCATTATTAATAACTTATAAGTCTTTCTTCCAAACCGTTTTCAAAAATATTTCTGCTCTACGGTGCAGCTTGTATCGAAAAAGAATTTATTTTTGTAAACAAAACAGGTAGTCCAGAGATGCCAACCTGCTCCGGACAGCAAATATACATTTAAAGTGGTAGTTTATCAATTGTGATTCTTGGTTTAATAAATTCAATTTAGTAGATTTTTATCCACCACTATTTTTAAATAATTCGTAGGCTTATAAAACTCACTATTTACAATACTTACGTAATACTATACCTGTTAGAAAGCAAGCATAATAGTGAAACATTTGCAAAATTTACTTTGTTGTTATTTACCATTTTTTTAAAAATTATTTTGGCGTGTCCGGAGCAGTTGGTATCTCTGGGCAACCATTTAACTAACTCTGATTAAAATAGAGAATTATTCGTCCTTGGATTATTTTTATTTTATAATCGTTGTTTACATGTGTAAGACCAGTGTATTATGAATAATTCGCAGCAAACAATTTCTTTCTTTTTTTCTCTCTCTGAAGCTTAAAAATGAAACTGCTGAAACTATTTTCGTATAATCTAATGAATAACCGTTGTTAGTCTATTGATTGTTAGTCTCGCAGTGACTACTCTTCAGTTTTCTGTTATTCAATTGAGTCAGTTACCCCCCCCCCCAGGGGCACACTCTTGTGTGACGGGTACGGCGTACCCGGGGCCCCGAGCTGGACCTTAGCATACTTCAATTTCTTCCTTGCGACGGTCCTGTTTTGAGTTTCTGACCTTCACATTTAAGTACATTGACCTTCCTTCCTTCCTCAGTGGCACGACAGCCCCGGGTGGGCCCTGGCCTTCTCAATCAACTTCCTCCAGGCCTGTCTCTGCCTGGCAGTTGTCTTCCAGTTTGAGACTTTTAAGACTGAAAAGTCTCTTTCCACGCAGTCGGCCCATCTCAGCTTTGGTCGACCTCTGGGCCTTGATCCGATGGGCTGAGCCGAAAAGATTATGTTTGTCGGACGCTCTCTGACATTGTACCTAGTACATTGTACCTCTCTACATTGACCTAGTGAGCGAAAATTATTTTATTTACTTTCAAATTCTGGATATTATTTGCAGAATATTGGTTTCTAGACTATCGATGTATATTTTTTCTCTCGTTACGTTGATATATTTATATATATTATCTTGTTATTCTTATTTATTATATGATATATTATNAATTTACAACAGAATTTCGATTAACAGGTAGTTAAGTATTACGTTCAGAAATATGATTAGATTTGAGTAATTTATTGAATTTCTTCTCAGTTATTAATTTGTATTTAGAGTTGAAAAAGTCGGTTATTCGCCAAGAAAGTCTATCAAATGTGTCAAAATTGGAATTCAAATAACTGATATTTATATGCAAGTCATATAATTCTCACTCAGCAGCTAACGGATTTCTTGAAAGTAAACATGAAATTTTGTTGAGGGAGGAAATTTTTTTGAAAGATAATAATTAAAGATAAAGTTTCATGCGCCTACAATGAATTAAGAAAATAAAGTGATTTTCAAATTTATTTTTCAAGTCTTCCATTACAAAAACAATTAATGTGATTTCTCAATAATTTTGACGTCTATTTTAAATTTACCGCTAGCGATGATATAAAGTTTATACTAGTTGCTTTCAAAGTGAACTAAAATTACTTTTTCTTCTTGGATCACATAATATGCAGGATATGTTAAAAAAGAATTTTTCTAAAATTAAAAATGGGAGATCGCTATTAAACCTAAACATGATTAAATAAGTGCATTATTTAATTATAATTGCAGTTATTTTATTATATAAATAGATATCTACCGCACTCTGCTCACTATCGCTCAACAACCCTCAAATTGACTTCGGATATCTTTTTGCTAATTCGCCAGTAATTGAAAAACAGCCTAATAAATTTTATTAATTTGTCTGAAATTCAATTCGTCAGCACTCATAAAGCAAACTTGTATGTACTTAATTGCTGAGAGAAGTACTATACACAAATAGATAAATAATGTATTCTTCAAACAGAAAATTATGGTACTATATCACTCTCCAAGGGCAAACAATGAGTTTATAAATCTGTAAAAATACGTATTTATTTACAACTAAAATAAAAAGTAATTTAAAACATAAATTTAATTATTATTTCTGAAGAAGTCTGGCTTTAGCAAGAAATGTTTGCAGCCAAACTTAAAAGGTCGTCTAAATATAATTTGTCGACGAAATTTACTCACATTTTAAGAAAAAGTTTCCATAATTGAGAAACCAAGATTCTTAAAGAGCCCATCGCAACCTTTTGATGAATGCAATGTACTACTAAACATAAATGAACTTGACTTAGAGAGATGCAAAAATATTTCTCTTAGACACTATATATGTATTACTATATTATTTCCCCCCAGGGGCACACTCTTGTGTGACGGGTACGGCGCACCCGGGGCCCCGAGCTGGACCTTAGCATACTTCAATTTCTCCCTTGCGACGGTCCTGTTTTGAGTTTCTGACCTTCACATTTAAGTACATTGACCTAGTGAGCGAAAATTATTTTATTTACTGTCAAATTCTGGATATCATTTGCAGAATATTGGTTTCTAGACTATCGATGTATATTTTTTTTCTCGTTACGTTGATATATTTATGTATATTATCTTGTTATTCTTATTTATTATATGATATATTATCTTGTTGCAATTCCTTATTAGTTATCGATTCTCATTCTTATCGTGGTTGCCAGATTAACTGGTAAGGACTTTTCGTCTTGGTCCGGTGTAATATTGGACCCTGATGAGAAGAAACCACCCGCGTGTTCGCCGTGCGTGGAGACCCGTGTCCCTGGAAAAGGAGATCCTGGTAGTTGAGGGGCATCTTGGTACCCCAACACACTGCTTTGGCCCCTGCTTCAGGTAAACGGGAGGTGCAAAGTGGCCCGTATGCATCAATCGGCCAGTCACTAATGTCATCTGTTGGCTAGGGTCAAGTCAGGAGTCACTTTCTGGGCACCTCGTTAAGGGTGGAGGCTGCTTCAGGGGTGACTTTCGGGCGTATAACTATTGGTCAGCATTGATGTTGAGTAACAGATTTATATCTATTCCTCGCATCCCCTGAGTTGGACTCCGTGGTGGGTGGTGCCGCCGATAGTGAAAGTTTTATTTCTTTTCCTATGGCTGAAAATGAACAGGTGTTCAGTTCCGCTCACCAGAGCAAAAGCGGAACAGCCTCATCACCTAGTTTTAATCTATCAAATTGCTCGAATTACGACCCCTCCAAGTCAAAGTTCCTTGTTTTAAGTTCTGCAGAGAAGAAACTCTCCTCTATGTCACCTTTTCTAGTCCAAAAATCTCTTGAGACACACATTGGAAATCCAAAACATGTCAAACCAATGCCATCTGGAGACTTATTAGTTGAAACAAATTCTACCAAACAAACAACTTCACTTCTCAAATTGAATCAAATTGGAAACGTTAAAATTACAGTAACCCCTCACAACACTCTAAATATTTCGAAAGGCGTAATTTCAGAAAAAGCATTACAATCCATGCCAATCTCAGAAATTTTAGAAGGTCTCTCTGATCAAGGCGTTATAGATGCACGCCACATAACAATCAAGAAAGGTTCAGATANTAGTTATCGATTCTCATTCTTATCGTGGTTGCCAGATTAACTGGTAAGGACTTTTCGTCTTGGTTCAGTGTTTTATTGGACCCTGATGAGAAGAAACCACCCGCGTGGAGACCCGTGTCCCTGGAAAAGGAGATCCTGGTAGTTGAGGGGCATCTTGGTACCCCAACACACTGCTTTGGCCCCTGCTTCAGGTAAACGGGAGGTGCATAGTGGCCCGTGCATACCCTCCAACTGCTACGGAATTTCCGTAGTTTCAGAAATCTTCTTTTCTGACGGTAGCAAAATTAATGTCTTAATATTTAAAAAAAATTAATTTTAGCGTAACTTATCCACTATTACTTATAAAAGTGCAGGCCATATGGCTAGATTCTTAAGTTCTGATAAAAGTTTTATGAGAGATCCATTTGCTTTAAAAATTTCTACTTTGGTTCGCTACCACTAGAAAGAATTATTTTCAAAATCCTCATAAGTTGGAGGGTATGCGTATGCATCAATCGGCCAGTCACTAATGTCATCTGTTGGCTAGGGTCAAGCCCGGAGTCACTTTCTGGGCACCTCGTTAAGGGTGGAGGCTGCTTCAGGTGTGACTTTCGGGCGTATAACTATTGGTCAGCATCGATGATGAGTAACAGATTTATATCTATTCCTCGCATCCCCTGAGTTGGACTCCGTGGTGGGTGGTGCCGCCAATAGTGGAAGATTTATTTCTTTTCCTATGGGTGAAAATGAACAGGTGTTCAGTTCCGCT